GCCAAAGATTTCCTAGGGACAAGTATGAAATTCGTGCCCCCACCCCCACCCCCCTCCCCCCCATAAAAAAGGTATTTTTACTAATCACCTTATTTGTAGTATATATAAAAAAGAATAAATACCATAAATAGCATAATAAGTATGCATGTAAATGGAATCAATTTTAAATATTATATATATTCTCAATATTCTTGAAAAGGACGTTTTAATAAGGAATTAAAAAAAAAATGGAAGGGATTTTCGTTTTTCCAGAAAAGTTATGAACTTTTGGTTGAATGATGAAGATTAGAAAAACAGAACGTCTTGTTGTTGTACATCTTTATTCCCCCCCCCCCGCCCGCCCCGCTCCCCCAGTTTATCTTTTTGTTTTATCCGAACATTTTTAAACTGTTTAGGGAGTAAACCGTGGTCTCTATCGTCAACTATGGTCAGTGATATCAACCGCGCTCAGAGACGTCAACCGTGGTCTCTGATGTCAACCATCGTCTCTGGCGTCAACCGTGGTCTCTGATGTCAACCGTGGTCTCTAATGTCAACCTTGGTCTCTGATGTCAACTTTGGTATCTGATGTCAACCGTGATCTTTGGCGTCAACTATGGTTAGTGATATCAAACCGCCCTCAGTGACGTCAACCATGGTCTCTGATGTCAACCGTGGTCTCTGATGTCAACCGTGGTCTCTGATGTCAACCTTGGTATCTGATGTCAACCGTGATCTTTGGCGTCAACTATGGTTAGTGATATCAAACCGCCCTCAGTGACGTCAACCATGGTCTCTGGCGTCAGCCGTGGTCCCTGGTGTCAACCGCGCTCGGTGACGTCAACAACGGTCTCTGATGTCAACCGTGGTCTCTGATGTCAACCGTGGTCTCCGTTTTTCAATGTTATTTAAACTGGTGAACAATATACACAGAGGCAAGTAAACACTAATTGATTATCCATCGCATTTTATTTTTGTTTTGTATATTGTTGTTTAAGTTCTAATTTTATATTCTCTTTTCCCTGGACTAACAAAAAATAAATAAATTAAACAAAGTTGAAGTTCACCTTATGAAACCTACCAAACTGAAGACAGAGACGGACAGCTGTGTACCACTGCGCCGTTCAAGTTGTGGCCACTGTTAATGAGTAGTCCCAGAAGGTTAGACATCACACGTGGGAGCATTTGAATTTTTATACCTTTTTAAACACAAATCCAGGAAGTATATTCATTTAGTTACCACGTAAAGAGGAATGGAAAAGAGGAGGGGGGGGGCACAGTTTGGATGTGGGGGGGGGGTCATTTTGCAGTTAAAAGCAATCTTCTGTAGTAGATTTATGTGTGTGTGTCTGTGTATGAGTGTATGGGTTAGGGTGGGGTTGTGCACGCAAGTGTCAAGTAGTGCTAGGGAAACATTGGTTTCCAGCGTGCGCATCAGTTAGTAATGTTATGCACCAAAACGTGATTGTATTATTTTTGACTTAATTTTCTTCCACTTAAATTCCTATTAATACTCATTTTAAATATTGAAGAAATGTATGCGACACCGTAATGCGGTGCATATTAATTAACTACATACAAAAAATATGTTCCCAGCTGATTAATGACATACGCACACCCGCAATATTTTTTTTAATGTTTTTAAGGTGTGCATAAGAAACTTAACACACTTGCATAAATAGAGGGGAACTACTTGCACTTACAATCCATTTAAAAAAATAATAATTCTGCCCTTTTTTTCTATAAATCATACTAATGCATACCCAGGTCTTTGCGAAGGGCATGAAGGGCCGCGAACATCCTATTATTTATAGGCTCACATCATGTATTATTTATGTATGAAAAGTGTATCCTTGTGCTAGAAGAACAGCAAGGGGTCTTAATCGGTTTAAATGAGACCCATTGGTAGTTTGGTGATGAAGAGCGCCACATTTAGTAGTAAGGTGATGACAAATACTTCCATTGAAACTTTTTTTTGTAGTGAGGTTTGTTTAACACTTACATTTAACAAAATAACATTACTTTTTTCTTAAGAATAAATGAAAATTAAACTGCTTGAAATCTCAATTAGCTCAAACAAAGACAACAACAACAACAACAACAACAACAACTTTCAAGCCAAAATTTTACAGCAACATACTGACGTTGATTTTCAAGCAATATAGCCAGAAGTTTTCTAGAATTTACAAAAAAAAAATATATATATTTTACGTTTCACAATCCCTTTGTCCCTGAACCCATTTAGGAAACAGGGCCCCACTACAAACTCGCTACCCGATATATCCAGTGAAGCCACTTGTAGGTACTTTGCACGCTAGCCTTTAGCGTTGGCTCTATGAATGTGTTATTTCCTTTGAACGCCATCGTGAAGTGGTCCTCAGCAATCTTCACACTGGAGTATTTAACATGTTGGTACAGAAATTGACTTTTCGTAAAAAATATGGAAGTTTATATAAATTATACATACCCCCATCACACACACACACACACATATATGACAATGTACTAATATATAACGTGTAGAAGCTAGTTGTTCTCAAACTAGAGTCTGCAAAGGCTATGCCATGAGCTCCTTAAATTTTAATATAACAAATAGATTGAAGCTTGGTGTTACCTATTCATATCACAGTTATGAAGTGAAGAAATGATGGATGCCTCACACAACAATGTCCATGGTAAAGACTGGATAAGGAACAATATACCATGAATAATATGGTCCATTGTTACTACGCTCCGTTGCCAGGTTTTGTTCCATGCCGGTCTGGTGTGCCCATTCACTGGAGTGGAAAAAAAGGAGTAGGCGGGGGGGGGGGGGGGGGGGGGGGGGGGGGACCATGGTGGCGGGGGTTTTTTTTTTNGGTTTTCAGTCGAGTGGGGGGTGGGGGGGGGGGGTTCCCACTGGTTCCTATGGCTCTATACCATTTTCTGTAAGTATACTTATACACATTTTTCAAATCCTCTAGGGAGGCGAGTTATCCCCACCCCCCCACCCCCGCCCAATGTCGTTCGTGTTTAATTTTTTTATTAAAAAAAAACAAACAACTCTTTCCACAACATTTTAGAAATTCTTTTGAATAATCCTAGAGATATTTGATAGATAATAGAAAAACGTGTTCGACGGCTGGGTGCACCATTTTAATGATCGACGTTTAACTTTCTTAAAAAAACAGTAAAAAAATGTATAACGTTGATTAAATCTAATGAATATTCAGGACATTTTAAATGTCCATTTCGGTATAGAAATGAGTCCGTGGGCTTAAAATAGCTGAACTAAATGAAACAGATGTGACAAAATTTCCGGGAAAATGTCTTTGCGCCGACTTATATGTCGGTGGAGTGATTGGTGTTTAAATATTACAATAGTATGCATGACTAGTCAAATCGTAAATGAATTTATGATAAGCGTCAGTTCAGACGATCAGATTTTCGGTCATAAATTTGATGCCATTTTTTTAGGAAGCCTTGTTACAACTTTCAAATTACGATTTGATCAAGTTCCCATTTTTGTCCAAAAGAAGAAACCATGCCCTGAAATATTACATTAAGAAATGGCGTCAGCGGCCCGTCGAGCTTGCGCTCTTTATGCCATCCCCAAAACACCCCTCCCCAACCCGTTATCGGGCCGTGGAGCGGCACGTCGGGGGTGTCCCTTTGTCAGGACAGCCTCCACCCGAGTCTGCTCGATCAGGTCACCACCAGAGACACCTGGTCGGTCCGACACTGTGTTTGCACACAGTGCACACGATCGACTTTCTTAGGAGTCGGGATGGAAAAATATACGTCCCAATATCTTCCCCCACCCATCCCGGGGAAGCGTTAGACGCCCTATAAGAGGGATTCTACAGTGGGTTTCCAAAACGCAACTAATTCGCGCTGTAGCTGGGACGAAACGGTTGCCTTGGAGCAGCTTCTCAGGGCTGCATTGTAAGAATCATCGGCCAGAGGTTACCACCTTCGCCTCTCGCCTCATATCCATTAACGGCAACTTGTAATCATGATCCCTACCCCGTCTCTTCCTATTTTCCCAAATGTGAAGTAGGAGCTGTTTTATGCATGGCAGGTACCGAGCACATCACTTGTCTGCCCATGTACGGCAGGTACCGAGCACATCACTTGTCTGCCCATGTATGGCAGGTACCGAGCACATCCCTTGTCTGCCCATGTACGGCAGGTACCGAGCACATCACTTGTCTGCCCATGTACGGCAGGTACCGAGCACATCACTTGTCTGCCCATGTACGGCAGGTACCGAGCACATCACTTGTCTTCCCATGTACGGCAGGTACCGAGCACATCCCTTGTCTTCCCATGTACGGCAGGTACCGAGCACATCACTTGTCTGCCCATGTACGGCAGGTACCGAGCACATCCCTTGTCTTCCCATGTACGGCAGGTACCGAGCACATCCCTTGTCTGCCCATGTACGGCTCCATGGCTCGTGTAGGGAACAGACGGGTACATCGGCAGGTACCGAGCACATCCCTTGTCTGCCCATGTACGGCAGGTACCGAGCACATCACTTGTCTGCCCATGTACGGCAGGTACCGAGCACATCACTTGTCTGCCCACGCAGGATGCGCCCAGTAGTTTTGTCCCCCGGTTAATGCCGAGGGGGTCTGTGGCCGACGCCTCCTAATCGACAAGTCATCACAGACTTTTCAACTGGAGCCCCGGGGGCGGAAACCACGCACTAAATAGTCCGTTCATACATAAATTTGACTAGAAATTACGACACATCATTAATGATCAGTTCACACCATCAAATTTTCGTCAAATATCTTTTTGGTTTACAAAATAGTGCATTCAAAAAAAAATGTGACGCAAATTTGATTGTGTGTTTTGAGCACTACGAGCCAAGTTTCATAATTTCTTTATGTGGACTTGCATACACTTACATATTCAAATAATAAATAAAGAAACTAACAATGCTAAAAACAAGAACTATTTATTTTCAAATTTATTTACATATAATTTAAAGAGACATTTTTTGTATCCTTTCAAATTACCCGGAGGTCACTTGACCTCTATACACGAATTTGTTTCTCGGAATCTGTATTTTGACTTATGGTTGTGACCTTGGAGCCAATCGTTCCTTGCAAAGATGAAGTTTTTTGAAGTGGGTAATCTGGCAACGAGGTAAGTTTAGGCAAAAAGGAATTTTGAAATGTGGAGACTTTCGGTAATACAGGTTCTTGCCATGTTGCAGCTTTTTGAAATAAAGAGTCTTGCACTGTTGTAACTTTTGGCAAAGGAGAATTTTGCAATGTGTTACCTTTAGGCCATAGAGAATCTTGCAATGTTGTAGTTTGTGGAAATAAAGAATCTTGCAATTTGTTAACTTTCGGCACTATAGAATCTCGCAATGTGGTAACTTTCGGCGTTAGAGTATCTTGCATTGTGATAGCTTTCGGCAGCAAAGAATCTTGCAAATATCCGCTCTTTTGCATCAAATTAGTAACATTCGTTTGAAAAGCTGCATGTCTGAATAAATGCGACAGAACTGTAGAATCCACGTTGGGGTTTGAGGCAGACCTTCGAAATGAAGACATGAGATATCTGCCCATCTCGTCCAACAGGATTGGCGGTCCGTTGGAGGGTTCACGGTAAAACACACACTGGAACCGGCACTTCGGGAATACGGTGGGGTTGTCGTTCTCTCCTGTTGTTGGCGCAATTGGCAGGGAGGTTGATGTCTGAGACGAAGAGAGCTCTTCCAAAAATCGATTCAGGTCCCCTTGGTAGGGGACAGATGCGGGCGGGCGGGAAACGGTTTCGGGGGATGGATTGATTCGGTGGATCCTGTTCGTCATTAAAGTCCTCAAAGCGTTTTGCAGTTGTTGTTGTTGCTGTTTATCGCTGACAGTTTGTTGATCGCTAGCCATGTAGAGATGTTCCTTGTGGCTGTCCTTCTGCGCTAGAGTCCTCGGCAGAGTGGAGGCAGCTTGGCGCGGTACAAAATGGTCGACGACGTAATCAACAGTGTCTGCTGTATCAAAGTTGTAAGGCCTGGAGTTTCCGAAAACGGCTGGGGCGTTTCCCGTGCTTCGCCATCTGTTCGCTTGAGCCTCCGAGTTCGTTCTAGGGAGAAGCTCACCCGGATGAAGTGCGCTGAGTAGGAAAGCACGCGAATCGGAATCCGTCTTAGGCGCAGCCTCAGCCTGTCTGTAATTTGAAGCCACGGGGAAGTCGTCTTGATAAAAGTTCGGAACTTCTGATGGAGACGCGACAGTTGGGACTTGTAGGTCGTAAGATATCGTGTTAATCTCACGTCGATTCTGGAGAATATCGACTCCATGGTTACGATTAGGCAGCTGTGATGGGGTGAAGGGGATTATCGGGTCTAAGAAGATGTCGATATCAGAAACCGTTGGAATCGCCCGGGATAAAGGCTCAACATGACCTGGGTACGTTGCTATAATCGCCGGGTCGGACTGCCGTGTATCAGGGAAAGGGTTTATTGTTCTGGTGGTGTACAGGCTGTTGTCGGATTGCGACGATGTTGACGTTGAAGTTGTTGTGGGAGGTAAAGTCATATCTGCCATGATTTTGGATGTGTTTACCTGAAGTCTATCAGATGCTGATTCTGTTGGTTTTCCATTGTCGTTTTGTGTAGCTACCCGAGAAAGGGTGTCATTTAGATTGGGCCCTAACTTGGAGTAGATTAGTGAAGTTTTACTGTCATTTTGAGACGGATTGACTGCGGGGGGTATGGACTTGTCCTCTATGGCAGGTATGTTATAACTAGACTGGGGGATCAGTGGCAGGTCAAACCTCTCACTTGATCGCAGCAGAACTTCAAGATCGTGTATGGGAAGGCTGACCACCACGCCATGCTCACCTGGGGAGGACGTGTTATCCAAAGCCAAGACCAGTGACCTGGCGCGGTCTTTTAGCTCGGCCACGATGTTGAGACTGACGTCCTCACCGCGGCTCTGATCCCCTGTGTCCGGTTGGGCATGCACGTTGGTGACCATGTTCAAGCCCTGGTGGCGGCTCGCGAAACGAACAGGGGCCGTGCTGTTCTGTAAAATGACGAAGTTCTGGTCAGGATTCAGTTTCTCTGCGTTGCCAATGGTCAGCGGGATGGTGAAGTTGGTCAGTGAAGGCGATCCCCTCTCGGAATCTGAATCCAAGAGTGTCGCCCCGGAGGAGGAGGATGCCGCGGCCGCCAATCCGTTTAAACTGTGAAGTTGTGGCGTGGAGGCTTGTGAGTCTGTTTGGAAGGCAGACGGCGATGTGACCTGGCCGAGACCGTCGTCAAGTCTGTTGGGCGTCAGAGCTGTGGCGAAAAATATAGGGGGGGGGGGGAACCCAACAAAGTTAAGTAAAGATCCTTTACAAGATATGTAACATTAAAAAAAAAAGTTAACATCTTGTCCATTAATTTTATTCATGAATATTTAAGACGGCGATGTGACCTGGCCGAGACCGTCGTCAAGTCTGTTGGGCGTCAGAGCTGTGGCGAAAAATATAGGGGGGGGGGGAACCCAACAAAGTTAAGTAAAGATCCTTTACAAGATATGTAACATTAAAAAAAAAAGTTAACTTCTTGTACATTAATTTTATTCATGAATATTTTGAGTTCGTCCACAGAGAGTTATTGCCCTTGTGTGTATAAAGTAGAAAAAAATGTTTTATTAAAGAAATAAATGTCTGCTCTGGATTGTGCATTTCATTTTTTTTTCCCTTAAGACATCGTTAGGCAATTTGAGTCATTTAGTAGTTACATGGCTCCGAGGACTTCAATAAAAAAAAATAATTCAACACTCTTCGTTCCTTAAAAAGTAAGAATTGAAGATTAAACACAGCCTTGTGCAGCTATGTTTAAACTCGTCATTGGTCATTGGGGTTTAGCGTCTTACCTAAATTTGTCGTCGTGACGTCCTGACTGGGTGCTGGCGGGACTCCGTTCCCTGAAAGAGGCTTCATTGATGTCGTCGTGACGTCATTCACCCCGTGATCGACGTGTGTGTCCTCCGTCGTCCCATCTTTCGGCACAGCGACAGTTTCCGGGGCAGGGACCCCTGCACCTGTTACGGTACTCTGCGGCACAACGGTGGTGAAAGCTCTTGGAGGCTGCGAGGGCTCGATGGTTGGGGGGCTCGACGGCTCCATGGTTGACAGAGCAAGTGCTTCCGCGATGGACGGTCCGGCTGTGGTAACGTTAGCAATGTCATCTCTGGTCGTCGTTAGAAGTTTGCTGGGTAGGGTCTGAGCCAGAGCCGGCTTTGAAGCCGACGGGGACTCCTCAATCTTAAATATAAAGACACACTTTAAGATCTCTGACAAGACCAGCAGAATAAACAGAATATCTTGCCTAAAAAAACATAAATGCCATAAACTATTTATTAAGCTTCCCTAATCTTTATTGCATGTCCCGATTTCCCTTTAACATGAAGCATTAAGGAACCAACAGATATGGCGTGTTTAACAACGTATACTCTAAACGAATAGATCAAACGCATCAAAATGAACTGACCCGCCTGAGGACTCCGCCCTCACCGGCGAAGCTGCCGACCAGATCCTCCCAGATCGGCCGCGTGCCCCTGCACGTGTGACAACAGTACACGGTTTTGGTATGGGGAGTGTAGTAGCGGCAGTCCTCTTGGACACAGGGGGCAGTCGGGTCGTCCCCCTGAGGGCAGTTCTCTGAAAATGCACACACAACATTTACGAGAACAGCAGCGAATCTGGAAATGGGCGAGAATTGAAAGGCGGCAGACACAACGCAACACATTTAAACTAATTATTTGCACGGATGTGAACAAAATAAGGTGTTGCAATTAACACGAAATATTCGTTTTAGTATAAACTAAACTGATCAATGTAATGATAATAACGGAAGGTAACAACAACAACAACAAAAAAGGGGGGGGGTTCAGTTGGAGTTTCAGTTTCGTTGTAAATGACAACAATCTAAAAAAATAAAACTGATCATAATTGGACATTAAACCTATCTGAAATAAGACAAATTGAAGTATCCAGCCTAAGTTTATAGGAAGACAAATGAGCAGACGACTGGGGAAGTTATGTGTAAAATGAGCCATCTAGAGTCCAGACCCAGTAATGGCGCTGATGATTTACACGCTCTGAGCTTCAACTTACATGCTGCAGACACGGAGATAACTTTCTGTGTAAGTATTTTGAAATGTTTTGTTTATTTAATTATTTCAACCCCTTTTCAATGACATGTTCTTGCTTCACATAGCTTCATTGTTTACAATGCAACCACATTGAGTCGCTGTATAGGGGAAGTCTTGGGAAGTCCTGGGCTGTCTGTCTATAAAGTTCAATAGACCAACAGCTATATGAAGCTAAGCTCATTAACTTCCCATTCATGTTCATGCTGACAATGTGATGAGCACTGAACAAATAGATATCACAAGACAAAAGCCTAGAATTTTTTTTTTTGAATTTGAAACCTTCAAATTGAAACTTCTCTATCATCATCACATCATTAAATACTTCAATACATATAATGTATTTATATTTATTTATTTTGGCTAGGGAGCAGGCCGAGCGCACTACATGAGCTGTAGCGCCACTAATGATATATTGTCTAGAGGTTACCTTCCATTGACGGGGCGTCCACGTGCGCCTCACACTTTCCTCGCTGACACCACTGTGGAGAGAGCGTACAGTGTCAGAACACGTTATTTAATTAATTAGGTACCAAATATTTATTTAGATGGCATGTTCATAGTTAGTTGCCATGGAGATATTGTTTGTTATTTTGACATATATCTTTAATATTGTTGCCTCTAACATTTCCGGCACGTCTTAGACACTACAATCGTACTTTTTTATTGCACCGTGAAAGAAGACTAGACCTTCTGCACTACATATTAAAAAAAAAAAGCTAGACCAATTGAACCACATACAATAATGAACTAGGCCAATTGAACCACATACAATAATGAACTAGGCCAATTGAACCACATACAATAATGAACTAGGCCAATTGAACCACATACAATAATGAACTAGGCCTATTGAACCACATACTATAATGAACTATAATGGCCTTATTGAACCACAACAAAAAAATGAAATAGATCTATTAAACCTCATAAAATAATGAACTAGATCTATTATTCACTTACAACAATGAACTAGACCAGCTGTATAAAATGAACATTAGAAATAGACCATTTGCTTAACATAAACAATAGAAATATAGACCAACTGTATAACTAAAAAAAATAGAAATAGACCAACTGTATTGCATACACAATAGAAATATGCCAAGTGGTTTTTTTTTTTTTTTATTTTTTGTTGGCATCCGTCCGTCACAGGGTGACGATGGTGTGGGCTTCGGAGGACGAAATCACATGGCTTGGGATTATTCTTCAAGGATTATAAGCTGGTTCCCAACAGCAAATCGCCTCTCTCCACGCCGATGGATAACAATAGAAATAGACCAACCTTGTAGCAATAGAAATAGACAAACTGTGTAACAACAGAAATAGACCAACCTTGTAGCAATAGAAATAGACTAACTGTATAACAACAGAAATAGACCAACCATATAACATAAACAATAGAAATGGACCTACTTTCTTGTCTCCGCATGACGTTTTCTCCATGGTAAATATAGACTGGTAGAGACCTGGCACCTGGGGTACCGAACAGAACATGCGTCGACACATACTGGAGTAGCCTTCTTGGTACTGGAGACGCTGTTGGGAAAGATCACCCAAATAAAACGGCCAATATTACAATTTCTGTGTTTAGGAAGCTATTTCTTAAACTCATTTACGAGCATACGATGGAGACAAAAATATTAACGAAAGAGTAGAAGAAATATCCCAATGAAACTTTGGGGGCATACAAAAAATTGTTAGAACCGAGACAATAAGGTGAGTTGAAAGCAAAAAATCTTCGATGCAGCATGCAGAGCACGAAGTGACTTGAAATAAATTAATTGGCGATCAACATGTTTACAAAAACAATCACCCACTTGGTCATATTACGATTGTAATAGAACTATGATTGGAACAACTATAGAGATAGAGGAGAACACGCGTTTATATCACCCACTTGGTCATATTACGATTGTAATAGAACTATGATTGGAACAACTATAGAGATAGAGGAGAACACGCGTTTAATTTTTTGTTTTTGGGTGTGGGGTGGGGGCTCACCCTGCCGAAGTAAGAACCGTTTCCCAACGCCAGCTGGCACTGCTTGTCAGCCGTAAAAACCTGGCCAGGGCTCAGACTGGTGGACAACATGTTGTGGCCCCGCGATGACTTCCTGGTGCAGTCAACGCTGTTGGCGATCAAAGAATAAAGCGGATGTTAACAATAAATAAAAATAGAAAATCGGATTTGATACGTGATTACGAAAGCTCTGGCGAAACATTCCCATGCACATTACAAACCCCCCCCCCCCCCCCCATATTTTCTTCTTTAAGGATCACAGTGAAAACATAACATTTCTTAATGTATTTTGTAACAGCAGCAGGAGTTTGAGATATTTGAGTCCTCGTGCGGTTTACCTACTTTGACACGAATCGCTTGAAGGCTCTGACGGAGCAGACGGAGAACTGCCAGGGTCGGGACGCACTTTTATCATCATCCGGGGTCTTCAGCTTCTTTGACATGATGAAGTTGTCCTCGTCCAGACAGTCTTTCTCCTCACCGTCATGGAGGGAACCTAGGCTGAATGGTGGGCAAAATTAGCAATGATGCTTTTTTACACTAGTCCTACTTTTTTGTGTGCTCATGACATGGAACAAAATAATCATTCTTCACTCAGCCACCGATTATCTTTATAACCACGAGCAGACAACGTGACGGCACGTTCTCATGACTGACCTGTGACCCAGTTCGTGTGCAGCTGTGGCCCCGACACTACCGGTGTTGTCCTGTTCTATGATGGAGATGGAGGACAGCCCACACATGCCCCCAAGCTTGGCCAGACCTGTCGTGTACGTTTTATAAAAAGTTTTTTTTTTATTTTAAAAGAAATTAAAACAAAACAAATATGAGTATATTAAAAAATGTGGATTAAGACAGAGATGTTAATAAATGTGGATTAAGACAGAGATGTCTGACTCTTTGGTTGGTCTGTTGTGTTCTGACAATAACAAGACACGGTGCATGTAAAACAAAACAAATATGAGTATATTAATAAATGTGGATTAAGACAGAGATGTTAATAAATGTGGATTAAGACAGAGATGTCTCACTCTTTGGTTGGTCTGTTGTGTTCTGACAATAACAAGACACGGTGCATGTAAAACAAAAAACAAATAATAATTAAAAAAAACAACAAAAAAAATTAAAAAATTAAAAAAACAAACACTTTACTTAATATGTATAACAAACGAAGCCACACATGAATAACCAACTATAGTTATAGTTCATTTGTTTTTGATCATTAGCCCTAAATCAATATAAAAGCTGATTTTGAAGATAATGACAAAATGCCCACGAATAGACAACCAAAACCACTAGCCGTCTCAGAACGTATCCACTGATAAGCATCACTACACTAAAGATATTTCCCCTACGCTATGACTAGATCAGTTACCCAGAACCCCCCCCCCCCCCCCCAAGAAGTCTAACCGTAAGAGAAACTTGCCTGCAACGTGGGGATTCCTGTTGATGTAAATATCGAATCTGAAAGAATTGAAAGAAAACAAAAAAAAACATAATATAGAAATTGGAGTAAAGATGTTGACCGCTTAACTTGCAGATTTCAGGCACAGTGCCAAATAGATATTTATCAAATCAAACCTCATGGTGGAGATGAAAAATATAGTTTTTTGCATGCTTGAGCATAACGCTGGCCAAAACAAAACAAAAAGAAAAAGCTCGAAGTACAAAGTAAGAGAAAAAACAAACAAACAAAAGAAGAAACAAAACTAGACATATTTTAAGACGCATGACAATGGAAAAGTTATTTCATAATCCTCACTACAATACTTACTCACCCAGTGAATAGCATCCAGTGGTCACTCAAAGGCAGCTCCACGTTCTTCCTCTTGACCCACTGCCCGAAAGCGTCCAGCGCCTTGCTGGCGTCCACGTAAGAGGAGCCTGCCTTCAGTGTGTTCTCTTCCGTCCATGAGCTCACGGGCTTGGACTGTAGAGAAATTAAACACTTTTTTCGTTCCAAAGTTATTCTTTCAAAAACAAACAAACAAAAAAACCCCACAAAAACAACAACACCACCAACTTAATTGGTAAGATTCTCAGTTTTGTACACTACCGTGCTGCTACACTTTCGACAGAAGCAAACTAGATTTGGAGAGGGATGGTCCCCTGGAAGACTGAGAATATACCTGTGGATCGCCAGGGCCGGATTTACATTAAAATAACATTTTGGTATGAAATCTATAACTAGAGATTGGGTTTTTTGTTTGTTTTTTTTTGTTTTGATTATCATCTAGTAAAGTATTATTTACTGAGAGTTTGCCTCCTAGTTGATAGCAAAGTATCACATTATCAACAAAGTGATTAATAACCAGTCTCGTACAGAATCCGAATCTCTAATGATTGCTTCGACACTACAGCCCTCCT